TGGCGAGTGCTGCTTACCGTGCCACCGCCCGCCAGCGTCGTTGGGAAGGGAGAAATACCTCGGCTGACGGGGCAGAGAGGAAGGGCGGCCTCCTGGGCTCGGCTGCTCCTGGACAGATCTCCCAAGGCTTCAGTGAAACCTCGTTGTCGACTCACCTGAACGTCCTTTACATTCCATTTTTACTGCATGAAGGATGGTGTATTTGTTTAACCTGGAGGGTTAAACCTCCTGGGCTCTGCTGCTCCTGGACAGATCTCCCAAGGCTTCAGTGAAACCTCGTTGTCGACTCACCTGAACGTCCTTTACATTCCATTTTTACTGCATGAAGGATGGTGTATTTGTTTAACCTGGAGGGTTAAAGAAGGGCGACAGCTTCCGAAGAGACTGTAGAAATTTGGTGGGAAAAGGAAGAAAGTTTTTTATTTCACTGGCAAAGAATTGAAGGGAAAACTACCAGAGTTTTTGAACTTCGTTGTGTGAACCCGTAAGCTCTACATTGCTGCAGAAATTGGGTGATGTGAACTTTTAGATGTAAGAGGTACTGGAATTCTGGTGTAGATTTTTTAGCCTTGCTCTGTGATCGTATCAGCTAATTATTATCGCTTATGGCGTCCTGACTCAGCTGCTGGTCCGGGTCAGCTGCATTTGGGGGGGGGGAAATAATTTAAGCCCATATTATTGCAAAGTAAATCAGGATGTTGTCAGAAAGAACCCCAGGGTATGTTGACCTCCAGCTGAAGAAGCGAGTTTTCCCTCTGATATCAACAAAGTCATGATTCCGCTCAGTTCCTTTGGTCCAGCGTGGTGAGGAGTGGGTGGGTGGTAAATGAGCAAAACGCCGTTTGCCTGGAGTGTGCTAAAAGTTGAAGCCCTTAAAATTGAGATTTATCCCTGAGACTTGCTTGGGTAGGCTTCAACTCATCCAAGATGAAGACGTGGGGTGGCACCTTCGCTCGAAGCAGAGCTCTGGGGTTCGTGTGTGTGTAGCAGCGAGCGCACATGGAGGGAAGAGGCTCGGGCACCGCACGGAGAGAGCTCACGGGCATGCGTGTGCGCACACAGCTGGAGCAGAGGGGCCGTTGGCAGAGCCTTTTCCCTGCGTGGGCACGGGCATGGAGGGACATGCGTGCGGGAGGTGGAGGACAAGCAGAAGCAAAGCTCGGGTGGAGGAGCGAGCGGAGCATGCCTCGTTCCCCCTGCGCTCAATAAAACGAGACTTTGTATGTTAGTAGAATCAACAGAATCACATCAAAGATGCTGGGTACGTCACAAGCCTTGGCTGAGTGACCCACATGATCCCAGATTTTGTCTGGCCGCTCGTCAGAGGCTGCGTTTGATCTTCACTAATGAAGCAGTCTCCTCTTTCCCAGCTCCCCATGCTGGTTCGAAGGACAGTGAAGTGGGACTGAAGAATCACAGAATCACAGAATGGTCGGGGTTGGAAGGGACCTCTGTGGGTCATCTAGTCCAACCCTCCTGCCAAAGCAGGGTCACCTACAGCAAGCTGCACAGGACCTTGTCCAGGCGGGTCTTGAATATCTGCAGAGAAGGAGACTCCACAACCTCCCTGGGCAGCCTGTTCCAGTGCTCCGTCACCCTCAGAGGGAAGAAGTTCTTCCTCATGTTCAGACGGAACTTCCTGTGCCTCAGTTTGTGCCCATTGCCCCTTGTCCTGTCACTGGGCACCACTGAAAAGAGCTTGGCCCCATCCTCCTGACACCCACCCTTCAGATATTTGTAGGCATTTATAAGGTCCCCTCGCAGCCTTCTCTTCTTCAGGCTGAACAAGCCCAGTTCCCTCAACCTCTCCTCGTAGGGGAGATGCTCCAGTCCCCTCACCATCCTCGTAGCCCTCCGCTGGACTCTCTCAAGTAGCTCTTCATCTTTCTTGAACTGGGGAGCCCAGAACTGGACACAGTACTCCAGATGAGGCCTCACCAGGGCAGTGTAGAGGGGAAGGAGAACCTCCCTCGTCCTGCTGGCCACACTCTTCTTGATGCACCCCAGGATCCCATTGGCCTTCTTGGCAGCCAGGGCACACTGCTGGCTCATGGTTAACCTGTCGTCCACCAGGACACCCAGGCCCCCCTCCGCAGAGCTGCTCTCCAGCAGGTCCACCCCAAGCCTGTACTGGTGCATGAGGTTGTTCCTCCCCAGGTGCAGGACCCTGCACTTGCCCTTGTTGAACCTCATCAGGTTCCTCTCTGCCCACCTCCCCAGCCTATCCAGGTCACGCTGAATGGCAGCACAGCCTTCTGGTGTATCTACCACACCTCCCAGTTTGGTGTCGTCAGCAAACTTGCTGAGGGTACATTCTAACTCTTCATCCAGGTCGTTGATGAAGAAGTTCTCATGGTTAACCTGTCATCCACCAGGACACCCAGGTCCCTCTCCACAGAGCTGCTCTCCAGCAGGTCTGCCCCAGCCTGTACCGGTGCATGGGGTTGTTCCTCCCCATGTGCAGGACCCTGCCCTTGCCCTAGTTGAACTTCATCAGATTCCTCTGCACCCAACTCTCAAAACCCTCCTTTGGTAAACTTCAGATCGTGACTTTGAGAGTGTTCCGAACCCTTGCTCCCCCGAGGAAGCTCCTGCTAGGTTTGTTACTTGTAGGCTCCCATCCCACTCCTCCTTTCGAGCTTTTGGGTGAAGCGGTCGCCCGGCGCTCAGCAGCTCAGCCGTTCCCAAGCCTCGTCTGCCATTGCTGAGCTCTGCAGGAACACGCGCTGTGTATGCAGCAGGGAGGACAGGTACCAAGTGTTGACTTTTGCTAGCTCTGTACTGGCTGGGAAAAACCTAAGGCTGCCTCCTGAAACACTGATTTTTTAGAATTGGGTATTATGTCATTTTCGTTTTGCTTTTGTTGTCAAGGTTTTTCTCCATTGAATTCATGAGGCAGGTCACATACATGTAAGTGGTAATCAAAAAACGCCAGTGATGCTTGTATTTATTTCAAGCATGAGTAATACTTGTCTTAGAGGGCAAGAAGTGGTTTGCAGCTGCGTTTGTTGTTTTGCCCGCTGCCTTCTGGTTTGTTTTTATCCAGGAGGA